GTTAATTTTGATGAGTGGTGATTAATTAATTGCTAAACTTCACGGGATTCTAAGGGGCCGTTTGTTTCCTTTTTTTGTGAGGGAAAGATGAGGAAAGCTTGCCAAAAGCCTGCCAAAAGTGCAGCTTTTGGCAGAGGTGATTTGGGTGGAAAGCCTGCCAAAAACTGTACTTTTGGCAGGCTTTCCCCACCTTTCCCTCTCAAAAAAAAAGGAAACAAACAACCCCCAAATCCCATGAAGTTTTTGCAACTTATTAATTAGCATTTTCGACTTAGTTTCAACCAACTGACTATAATTAGATCGAAAATGCTAAATAAAAGGTAAATGGGTTAATTTTTAAAAATAAAGTAATAAAAAGGTTAGTTTTGAAAATTTCTCCTAATCTTGCTAGGATCAGCATTCCTAGTATCACTAAGACAACAATTCCAGTCTCACTATAAATCTCTATCCCTGTTGTACATAGGGATTTATCCACTCACTCTTTTGGTCGTAAAATTTATACCGAGAAAGAAAAAACACTAATATAATTTCGAATACGTATATCAATTGAACAATTAAGGTGACCAAGCAAAAAAAGAATACTTCCACGCTGCACATTGCTATTACATGCAATTATACAAACACTGCCAGGTTCAGTAGATACAGTATGATTCAAGTCCACTTTAAACTCAGAACAGCATCTACGGCCCTGGCTACATAGAGGAACCTTCACAATTTCAGGCAAAATGACACGCGACATTGCCATTCTTTAAGAATTCACAACATAGACGAACTAAACTCACTGGCAGAACATTAAAAACACAGAAATCAACAAAACCTCGAATAAAAAGCTGCGAAAGCTACAAATAGGTAAGCAATTATGCACCTCCCCTAACCCTACCTCAAGGCGAACAATGATAATTCAGAACGATAATATATGAGCCAATAAACCAAACCGGCTACTAATACAGCACCAGACCGAATAAAATTACCTCAAGAGGATAGCAAAACAGAAGGCGTTGGATTGTCAAACAGTCTCCGATGAGAATAGAAAGAAACAAAAAAAGTACCAAATCCCTAACATAATCTCTCATTAATTTGTGAGCTCCATGATAGCACTAACAATGTCACCATCAGCAGCTTTAAGCGACTTAACAGCTTTGGCCCTTGAAACTCCAGCCTGTGTCATTACCAGTTCAATATCCTTAGGCTCGACACCAGTCTCGTCGACCTCTTCATCATCTTGAGCTGCAGCAGATGTCTCAGGCTTTGAGACCACGTGGCTGAGATCGGGAGCCTTGAACTGCTCTGCTGCCTGTGTCTGGAGTTGAGAGCTGAGGTCTTCGATCTTGGCCTCTCCGAAGATAACATAAGTGTCTGAATTTGGGCTCTTAAAGACATCTGGCTTTGATATGACGAAGAGTATCTGAGAGTAAACACAAGATATCAGTAAATAGGCCAAGGGATGTACAAGTCTTGCCAACAACAATATTTCTTGTTATATCACTAACATTTTTGCTCTTTTTCACAGTGACGCGGCTGACACCTGTAATGGGTTTCATTCCAAGTTTCAGCATAGCTTTGCGGCTCTTTTTCTCACTTCTGCTCTGCTTTGACCTCCCAGTTCCCTCACCCTCTTGTCCTGCATACACATAAATTTAGAGAGAGAAATTAACAGAAAGAAGAGGGAAAGCACCATAACCAAGAACTTAGTTGAAGACGAACGCAGGACACCCAAGGATAAGTTCCTGTTTGAGTTAAAGATATTTTAAACACGAGTTCAAGAAAATGATCAAAGCCCTTAACCACAGAGTGACACGTACAAAATATGATATTATATAACTAACAATACTATAATGTAGTTTCCTACAAGCTCAATAACCACTGCTTTGTGAAATATATCAGTGCAAGATAGGCAACTCTAACCATTGCTTTGTACAATATATCAGGGGGGAAAAAGGATAGCATGTGCCATTTATGGAGAAAAATAAAAGCTTATTAGGATATTAGAAACATGTACTTCCTTGTTTTCAGCTTCTATTTGTAGGCCACAAAATTGCAAATCCAAAGAGAATTAAGAATCTGGTCAGGAAAAGTATATAACAATGAAGCCTTGACCCAAAATTTTGAGGTTGGCTACACAAATCCTATTTTTCCATTCAAATCTATTGAGGGCTTATCTCCTCACTAAGTTAAATCATTATCATTGAGAATAGACATTCTAGATAAGCATTTTGACATACCTTCAACATCTTCCTCATCCTTATCATCATCCTCATCATCATCATCGTCATCGTCATCTTCAACTACAGGCTCATCAGGCTGCATAAAGATTAAGGACATCAGTAGTTATGCATCCAAACTGGAATTCAAGAAATAACTGTAGAGATTCATAAAAATATCACTAAATTACATGGATAATTCAAGGACAAAATACATCAACAACAAAGAAACAAATATAATCTAGGCAGAACACCATCAGAATGGTTCTCAGCTTAAATTATAGGTACACATAAATAGAAAAAAGACAGCAGAAATTTTTGCATCTAACAAGAAACTTCACATATAACATGTCCAAGATGTTTATTTAGCTATCATTAAGGTTGTTTAAACATAATTTTTAAATAAAAGCTCGCAAAATATACAGTGAGAAGTTCTCTTCCACAACACCAATACTAAAAAGTTATCATGATGATTGACGGTCACAATTTTATATTCTAACATGCCACCACAATCGAGCAAGTTTTCCATGGGCCATAACCAAGACTCATCGCAGCGATATCTTTTTTTAATCCATTATAAATTTGTGGTTAGTGGGCTTTGAACTTGAGTTGCTCTAATATCATGTTAAATGTCACTTCCACTACACTGAAGCTCCTAAATTGTGGTGAGGGTTAAGGGTCATAAATTATTACTCTAACAAGAGCATAGCATGTTTAAAGGTCTCTTACACTACCCCAAAACTCTCAAGTTGTAGTGAAATGGAAGGATTATAATATTTCACTCTAACAAGAAGAACATAGCATATCCCAATCTAATCCTTAATCAAACAATCAACTTCAATCATATCGTCTGCTCCAACATCAAATATCACGTTAAATGTCACTTTCACTAACTGAATTCCTAAATTGTGGTGAGGGTTGAGGGTTATGAATTATTACTCTAACAAGAGCATACCACATTTAAAGGTCTCTAACGCTACCCCAAAACCTTAAGTTTTATGAAATCGAAGGGTTATAATTTTTCACTCAAACAAGAAGAACATAGCACATCCCAATCTAATCCTTAATCAAACAATCAACTTCAATCATATCATCTGCTCCACCATCAAATCTGCCCTCTTCTCCCACTTCAGTAAGCAAACATCAAACATCATTACACAAGCACAAACTTATATGTGAACCCATCACTGAACTAAGCTACATTCAGAGATCTCTGAATGGAGAAAACCCAAGCATCCAATACCAGAGAGCTCCGAATGAAGTGCACTCAAAAATGCAACAACTTTAGAGCCAGAAACCCATATCCCACACCATGTTCTAATCTTATTAACTATGTTCTCTCTATTACTCTTCGGATCACTAGAATTCATGCATAAGACATCATAATGGCGTATCAAGCGACAATCAGTCTATCGTGAACAAGTAGTGACACTTGAGATATATATTAAATTATCAAATACCACCATCAACCTCAGCAATTAAGGAATCAATCTTTTCGACCCATCACACAAAAAGAGACACTTTTGAAGATCATGAAATCAACAGTAGTTGCTTCAATACTCTAGAGAAAACGCAAGCTCCAAAATTTTTGGATCTATCCCAAATGAACTACTACAGCATTAAACATAATCATTCAAGCCCATTTCCATCAGATCTATAGATATAATCCACCAAAATAGCAGGAAATTAAGTGATTAATAGAACGCAAACAGGCCAAATAACTTGATTCGGAGATCGATCGATCGATCGAGAGAGAGAGAGAGAGTATTACATCGATCTTTTGCTGCTCGAGATGGGCGGCGAGGAGTTCTTCCTGAGTTTGAGCAGTCATGGCTTCAGAGATTGCCGCCGTAAAATGGAACGAAGAAAACCCTAGATAAAACCCTCGATTCCTAAAGAGATGAGGCTACGAGATTGGGATTTTATAGCCCCTTACCCTTGGACGCGCCGAATTACGAAACTGCCATCGTGAACAGGTCTATTTAACTGGGGCTTACTTGCGATTTAATACCCAAAACTTTCGCTCCTTATGACTTTCGTACCCATATGAACGCCGCTGAGGCTGAAATGCACCACAGTACCTTATGTTTCACCCATTTAGCACTTATATACACTCAATTGTTTTCTTGGTGCATTAACATAACCTGAGTTGTTTAAGGGGGTGGTTGTTTGCCAAAAAAAATGAAAAAAAAACCCGCCATGTCACATTTCAGGAAATCCCCCCCTTCCACGTAGGATTTTGATTTCAAATCACATATTTGTTTCGTTTTGTGATTTAAAAAAATGAGAGTGTTACGTAGGATGTCACGTCAGATTTTTAAGAAATGTGTTTTCACACCAAAAATCTCTTAAAACACTTAGAAATGTCATTTCTATGATTTTTTTTAATTGCTAAAAGCACTTTTGAAACAGTTTATGTGAATAAAACAGATTATTTAAATGCTGAAAACACTGTTACTATAGCGGCTGATTTTCCTTTCCCTTTTTTTTTGTTCAAACAAACACAAGAAATGGAAAACTAAAACCACTGTTACTGTTGCGGTTTTTTTTGTTTTTTGTGTGACTTGGACGTGAAATGGGGTGATTTCTTTGCGAAACAAATAAAAAAAAGAAAAGTGGGAAATGTCATGAAAGCTATTAAAATCATTTGAAAACTGAGTTTTCCATTTCTGATTTTTTTGGAAAACAACCAAACAGCCCCTAAAAGTAGCACCTTAGGATCCTATGTTATGAAAGCGTACAAATTTTCACTCGAAAGTTCTCATATAAATTAACATAAAAATTTTAGAGCTCTTTAGTCATCAATATTTTTGTTAAATTTACTGTTAATCCTTCCTGAGTTCTAGTTTAAACATATTCTAATTCCATTTGAAAAAAAATGGATAGCTTTAATAGTAAATTTAGCAAATCTAATAGTGAGAAAGTTATAAAATTAGTATATGAATGTTTTTATAAGAGAACTTTCAGAAGAAAATGTTCACCTTCGCATTACGAGAGGTATTGAAGGGCTAATTCTAAACAACTCGGGGTATATAAATGCTCCAAAAGCCAAGTGACGGTATATAAGTGTTAAATTAGTGAAATATAAGGTATTTATTTTCGTTCAAATTAGCCTACCGCTTATTATGAGATACTGTAGACTAAGAAATCTTTTGATAATCATATATCAAAAGCTGCTTGCAAAAATAGTTAAGAGTTTTGGCAAAACTATGCCTAAAGATCATTGTACAAAGATAATAGTCACACATCGTATATAAACTAAAAAAAAGATATTGACTAATCCTAAAAAAATAAACAGAAACACCATAAAAAACTAAATTGGCTCTTGCTATGTCTAGTTCAAAATAAGCAGAGACCAATATTAGAAAACACTAGTTTTTTTTTTCATTAAATCTTGCTGACATAGCAGTGATGTGGAAAAATAAATGCATGTTTCTGGACATGCGCCCTCTCTCTTGTTGTTGACTAGACCAGAAACACGTCTTTATTTTCTCCAAAATCTATTGGCAAGAAGAGAGAAGTGGACATTCGATCAGCAAAATATAGTGAAACTAAACATTTGTTTTAGCACGTTACTTCCACATAAGCAATATTTAATGAAAATTTTCAAAAAGGACATAAGCTGATGATGGAGGTAATGTTAGGGAGATAACATTAAAGACTTCCAATGACGACTTCCAAACTTAAAGAATCTAGATGATATTTAATCAATACATAAGGCACTTCCATGATGATATTTAATCAATACGTATGGCACTTCCATAAAAATTTTGCATAAATCATCTCTTCATAAATTATAGTCCTCGTCCTATATAACACGTTTAGGATGAATCACAACTATTCACAAAATAACGCATAATTATGATTAACTATTGCAGCTTCCCTAGAGAACACATATTACAGGATCCAGACCTTTTTAGGACTTATATGCAAGCGAAAATAATAAAGTTAAGAACATAAATAGCAAGAAAAATATTTGGCATTTCAATAGTTTCCAGCAATCTCCATAAACTCTACAAAGAGCTCTTGAACAATCACCAACCTCCTATGGACTTCACTCACAACCTCTTTCTTTGCCTTCACATTTAAACCCAGTTCCCTCTCCTTCAATATCTCAAACTTCACAGTCCAAATATGCTTCCTCAATCTCTCCAACAAACCCATAACCTTCACAATCTTAACCTTAACATCAACATTATCACCTTCATCATTGAACTGCGACCAAGATATAATGATCCTCGAACTATGCTCAATATCATCCATCTTCGATCTCATCTCTTGTTTAAGCTCATTGAGCTCAGCTGGTCCAATGGCGCATTTTACCTCTTTGGTTAAGATCTTCAAGCTAGAAACTCCGTCGCTAATGTACTTTATCTCAAAGTCGAACACGGAGAATGTATGGAAAAGATTCAGGTTTCGCGCATGCTCGGGCTCGTTGAGATTCATAACTGAAATATTGAGTGAGACATGAGAACTATTGAGAAGAAGTAGAAAAGGTGGATTACAAAAAATCCCTTCATGCTCTTTG